GTTGGAAAGATTTAACTATCATTTATGTATATAATGCATAAAATCAGAAACATTGGACTAATGCCGATGGCATGAATCTCAACACACATCAGAAAAGCGAAAACGAATGTTCATCTACTCAAGAAATACAGTCAAGATCAGCTTATTCATATTTCTATCTTACAAGTTTCAATATAAAGTTACAGGCACGCAACAAGAGCTAACTGCAGGCTACAGAGCATCTGTGAAGAAGATGCTACTGAATCAAGGTTCCTTAAGAAATGGTACTGTCTCTCTGTGGTAACGCTTAATAGATTCAATAACTTTTACTGCGAAAGCCTCATCCTCTGGGTAATATGCAATAGGATCAGATAACAGAGGAAGTGGAAGATTAAGCACACCTTCAAGTGTTGCGTGAAGACAATAAGCTGAGTATGTGACATGATATCCTCCTTCCTGGACAATAAGAAGGCGTCCATCACAATATTTATCTGTCAAGCCCCGGATTATCCGCCCAATCTCTCTATAACCATCCATCGTCAAGCATTGCCTCCCATTTGGATCAAACTGCAGAACCGTTTATGTAATGTAATACAGCATTGATCAATAGGCATAAAGACAATAGAATATTAACCATTTAACTTAAGCACAGAATAGGACATGCGTGTTCTTAAAATTTTATCTCCCAAAACATTACAAACATGCCTACAACAATAAAATCTCTAAGTAGAAGAGACTTTAGCTTGTTTTGGAAAATTCAAGTTCAAATGCTGCAGCATCCAAGGACAGTAGGGAAAAAAAAAAAAGGTGTTTCTGGACATTCATTTATGTTGGTGGGTGGTTGTGACGTGGAGTTCTTGGTGTGTGACAGGTGGGGTGTTGAGCTAACGCCAGATATCTATAGCCTTCACATAAATCAACATAACCATTTATACCTAGCCCGTAAAATGTTTCAGTTAGCTTCAATTCCTTTCACCATGGACAAGATAAAAATTGCCAACTAGCAGCCAAAATGTAGGTCACACTAAATTTGATCTGCAGAAGCATAAGGCACCTGCCTCTAGACTTATGACCCCAAAAAAATTCATAAAATTAGATGAAAGTATTAAATAGAGAAGTGTTCACTTACAGCACTTGAATCTTGGCCAATCACCAGCACTATCATATCTGGCCTGAACTTCTCAATAGCTGGGACAACCACTTCTATCATGGCATGCTCATATCCTTTGTTCCCCGTTCCATTTGGCAATGGTATGTTCAAGTTATACCCAAACCCTTTGTCTTCACCAAGTTCATCGACAGTCCCATTTCGCGGGTGAGAAGGACCCCATGGACCATGGTTCATATGAAGAGAAATAGTGAGAGCATCGCTGGACCTGTAGAACCCCTCTGCAGTCCCATTGCCATGATGAACATCAATGTCTATGACTGCAACCTTACTACATCCAGAATCCAAGGCCAATTTAACCGCAAGACCTGCATTGTTAAGGAAGCAATAACCGTCTGCTTGAGTAGGTTGAGCATGGTGACCTGGAGGCCTCACCAATGCATAAGCATGTCTTCCATGTCCATCAAGTATATGCTTCATTCCCGACAGTGTGGTACCAGCAGCTAGAAGAGCAGCATCCCATGAACCGGGGTTCAAGAATGTTCCATAACAAATTTCTCTGCCTCCATCTCTGTCAGCTTCAACTAGTTTATTTACGTATTCTGGGGAATAAATTTATTAAAATAATATCAGAATAACTAAATCAACTCCACAGTCCTAAACTAGTTGGGGTAACCTACATGAATATGTTCCCCCATTCTGTTCAATCAAGGTCATGACTATTGACAAGCAGCTGCTACTTACTAGAATTGCCTCTCCAGTCAAGATCCCAACTTTACAATCATTTTTCAATCAAAAGAATAAGAGAGGTGAAATCTAGGCCTAGCTCTTCCAGTCTCAACTCCCCAATCACATAATTGTCAGTGAAATTAAATTCTACAATCATTTTATGCAACCCTTCACACATTTAGTTTAGTACTAAAGCATCAGTCTTTGACACACAGATACACACCAAAATTCTTATGCAGTACAGTAATTATCATTCAAAAAGAAGGAAAGGGTACCTTGGGTGTGGAAAGAGAGCAATTCAGGGAGGAGAGCAGATCTGCCAGAATGCCAAGAGATGTAGGGGGAGATGGGTCCTCTCTTGAGGATTGAAACCATGTTCTTCACCCTATCTGAGTTCTCAGGGTGCTTTTCTAGAACGTCTAAGAAGGTAGGCTTAAGCCCGGAGTGAAATACGCCCCTGCCCGTATCGTGGCTTAGCATCCCGTCGTCCCAGAACACATTTATGCACCCACAAGATGGAGTAGGAGAAGCAGACATGGCTTTTGGTAAGAGAAATATCAGACCTTCAACTTTCTAACCCTCGACTCCACTCGTCGGCCAAGAAGAAAACAACCCTTAACTCCATTAGATATTTTTCAGGGATTAAAAAGACCCTTAGCTCCAACGTAATCTAAGTTTCTATCAGATAGCATTAGCAACACTCACTGCTGGTGCTGATAGATTAGCACTCTCCACTTTCTTTTTTGACACCTCATTTCAATTATTGTCGCACACAAGTCGCAAAAATGAAAAAAAATTTTATTAAATAATTAATTTTTTAACATTTTAATTAATATCCCTTTATTTTTAATTAATTTAATCTAAGTTTCTATCAGATAGCATTAGCAACA